GGGGATTTTCCTTACATGAATATATTGATTGTTAATTTATTCATTCTTGCGGCCACTCCTGTATATAATTGAAAAGATATCAGGTTTCAAGAATTAAAGAATTTGATTTATAATGCAGGAACTATTTGAAAATTTAATGATCGATTTTTCTCTATATCATTAATAAATTTGCAGGATATGGAACAATGTCCCCAAGTACGACGAATGGCAGATTGTGCACTATATTATATGCATTGTTCGGTGTACCATTAGCTTTAATATGTTTATCATCAGTCGGAACCCTTCTGGCTAACGGTTTCACACGACTCTGGAGCAGATTGTGCTGCAAATACTGTTTGTCAGAAGTCGACTTCGACTTTCAATGCGCGGAAGATGTCATGCAAAGTTCGTGGAAAACGAATAAGGTAGGATAATTGAAAATTATGTAGTATCAATGCACACACACACATATATATATATACCTATATATATTAGGGTGGTCTTTAATATGGACATTTTCGAATTTCCTTGCTCCCAAGGGCTCAAATGGTTCCAAATTGGTAAAAAACAATTCTCAACAAGTTTTAGCTCTTAATATTGTCTCAAAGCGCAATTCAATCAAACTTTTGTATGGAAATAAAATTTAAAAAAATTCAAAAATTTTGCAGAGCTTCGAATTTTTAATAAAAAATGACACGAATTTTCGCTTTTAATTCATTTGTCACTAAGTTATAACTAAAAAATTTTTTTTCAATTTTCAAAATTTTTTCCATGCTATTTTCTATGCTATAATTTGATTTTTGTGAAGTAATAATGCATTTTTTTATCTGTAAATATGTACTACAATTCTGGAATATAAAATGTCCTCCTAATAAGTATCTTTGAATTATTGATAACATTAACTAAAAATCATTTATAGTTTGTTAAATTATAATAATTGATAACATTTGTACCTATAAATGTTTACTGTTGCTGTCTTTCTATGTCCTCGCCGCAGAAAAACATCTATAGCTTGAGGTATTTCGATTACATTACATTTTTAATTAATATTCAACTTGATTTTTAGTCAGTGTTTATTAAAAAGAATGGTTCAAAGTTGGCGAAAAAGGGAACATTCCATATCCCTGGAATGTAAAAAATATTTATGAATCAAAAATTAATTAATTTTATTAACTATATAAATGAGAATCATAATATCAAATATTCTATAAAAAAATTGAAATTCAATTTGTTATAGGTAAGATATTATTTTACAAAATTGTAAGTAATTTTTCATATATAATTATGATTGTTTCTCTAAATATTGACAGACTTTATATTTTATTATTAGATAAAATCCTTTTGTTATAAGAAAAAGCTTTAGATGGTAACGTTAGTAATATATTATTATTAAAAATAAATGAATTTATGAAAAAGTTCATTATTTTTGTGAATATTTTTTGTAAATTTGATATTTAATATTATTTATTTCTTTCTTTTAGTCCGTGGAGGGTGTTACTTTTGATCAATATAATATAATATCTGAAAGACAGAGGATAATGCCTCAACGCTATCGGCAAGAAACACAATACATGCAATGCCCCCAAATGCAAAATGATGGTAAAATAAAGTATTTTTATATGTATTTAGTAACACGTGTGGAATTACACACACACTTATATATATATATATATATATATATATATATATATATATATATTTATATCAGTATTTCAATTCGGAGTTTCTGTGATTTGGAATTATACCCAAAACGTTTGTTCTTTTGTTTTTTTATGACAAATGTTTTGGCAGATGTTTCAGGTTCAATATTAAATATTCGAGTGAAAATTCCGTTGGATAAATATAAATTGTATCCTTAGTTAGTTACTTTTATCAGTATTACTATTTTGCTACGATTTTGCCACATCATATGCAGTAGAACCTCGATTAACCGGACTAATTGCTGTCGATAGGCATCCGGATAATCGAATGTACAAAGAATAATGTTTTGTTTCTATTAAAAATAACAAATACATACATAGATATCAATGAAAATAATGTTTATTAATAAATTAAAATTTCCTCATGCATGTACATATATATTTTCTTGGATTACATTACATACATATACTAAAACTGCAGCATTAATTGCGCAAAAATTCGAATTGTAGCAATGTACATACATCTAATTTAGTCGTGGCTGGTGGTCCGGATAGTCGCAAATCCGTATAACTGAGATCCGGATAAACGAGGTTCTACTGTGGCATTTTAACAGTTTTTAGTACCACTCTATTTAAAAATGCTGCGTAACATAGCTTTGCCATAACATTGGTCTATTTTACGGCAGTATCGACCCATAAATATATGAATCCCGCAATATATGTTTTACAATGATATGGTTTCTTACACACAGCAATATTATGCTTTACCTATATACGATCACTCATGTACAAGTCCTGCAAAGCCCTATATTTATTTCTCATATCCATTATTCCGCGCACAATATGTACATTTCAAAGAATTCAAAACTTTGCATATTTATGTGTTTGATTTTCTCTAGTTTATTAATTTTTTAAAGTGATTTTTGAAAAGTTTAATTATGATCCAGAAATTTACCTCAATACACTAGTTTTTTTACCATTCCATTTTTCTTCTATAAATAACTAGCCGATTTTTGGGCACAGGGAAAATCGCTCAGTCCCTTGTACACCACAATTTGCTTCCTCAAACGCACAATCCATCTAGTCAATGTTTGCTTTCACGATGTCTTCTCTCACGACAAAGGAACAAATCACTCAATACCAGACACATCACAAATCACTAGGGAGCACCGTATAAGTTTCTCTTCTCAAATTGAATTATTTATTATTAAAATAATAATAGCCGTAATAGTATATGAGTAAAGTATATATGCAAATCGATAGACTACCAGTGCATATATTGGTGCTATTTCAATTGCTATTAAGTACTTCTACAATATGCAATCCAATATCTGGTCCAGCAGTTGACTTCCTTTTCAATTTGCATTATTATACGATAAAGTTTAATTGGTTCACGTAGTTTAGTTATTGATCATGGTATAAAATAATTATTATATAAAAAAACGAATTAAAATTTGTTATATTAATGGTTCTCTAAGAATATATGCAATTCTATAAGAATATATAAGTTGTTACACAACTGCGATTAATCTCATAAATTTCAATTGGTTATTCTAATTGAATTTGATTAGATATTAATGATGTCATTTATATTCTAAAAGAACACATAAAAAGATAACTGTTACACAATTACAACGTATCTCATAAATTCTAATTGGTTGATCTTTTTACTTTAGAATTTAAAATGGGAGTGTGTTCCGAAGATAGAATTCATTCTTTACAAGTTTGTCAAACCTCCTATCAATCAAAGTGCAAAAAAGCTAATCCAGCAGAACAACTTCAAAGATCTAATATAAAATTAGCAACCGTGCGAAGAGGACCAAGACCACCCGAAATTACGCAACTTATTGCAGAACATAGAATTCAACATGGAATTTCAAATGCAAACAATATAAAGTGTAATGTGTCTAAAGAGCTTATGCAAAGTGATGAAGATGATGACGATAATAATATTTCGTAAGAATAATATAATTATATAGAAATAAAATATTATTTTTAATCATCTATCTTACGCATTATTATGAATCCCATGAATCTTATTTTTTTTTTTTAGATCCTGTTCGCACGACACGCCGTCGCGCGTTCCGTTGATATGCCGTTCAACCATTGTCACCAGCCATGACGCAAATAGAACCATTTCAAATAATATTGTCAGTCAAAGCAGCAGGGTTACAAGTTCTTCTCTGAACAGCCTGGTGCCGTTGGCGGTTATTGCTTTAGTTCTTGCTTTTTACATAGCTCTTGGCGCGTGCATTTTTTCTCTTTGGGAAGACTGGTCTCTGCTGGATGGTGCATACTTCTGCTTCGTGACACTAACTACAATTGGTATGAAATAATAGAACCAGTTAAATAAACACAACTATCCTCTTACATGAATTAATTTTTCAGGTTTCGGTGATATTTTACCGTTGCGTTCATTGAATGGCAACCAGCTCCAGCTCGTAGCTTGTTGCGGATATCTACTGGTAGGTCTGGTGTTGATTGCTATGGCATTTTCCTTGGTTCAATCGCAAATAATGCTGCGGTGTGCAATTTCTAATGAACGCTGTTTCAAACACTGATGTAAGTGATACACTGTAACCGAAACTGGAAACGCAACATATTGTTTATTGTTGATTGTGATTGTGACTATCACATATTTTCATAAACTATACCAGTAAATTATACAATTGATTGATTAATGTTTAGTTTTTAAGTACGTAGTGTCAAAATTAATGCATTTTATCATATAAATACAGCAGAATATATAATTATTCTTAGGACGTTAAACCAATGTGTAAAAATTTAATTTGTTAAATTCGCAAGTTACAAATTAAGTAATTCTCAAATGTTAGAAATATGTTTAAGTATCGGAATAGTTAAATAAGATTTGTTAGATTTATAACCTTTCTATGCATATTATAACCATCAACCTTTAATAATTTATTAATTTTCATCATATGTTGCAAAGTACTATATGCAGTTTATAATAAATAAAATTGTGTGTATATATTTAATGAATAAATTTTTGTACATAGATACATATATTAAAAACATTTTTCGTATTTAATTCTATTTATTGGTTTCATTATTAGAGTTGTATCAGTTATAAAAATCACGTATGAAATGCAAAGTCAGTAGGGGTCAGTATTTCAGGTATTTTTATTATAAGAATCCTTTAATACGAAAGCATTTTTCAATTAATTGAACAAACTATGTTTATGTTATATTAAAGAGTTTATTAAGAGGATTACTATATATTAAAAATAAAATCATTAATGCAGTTCATATAAATGTAGCTATAAATATTAGCATGGATAAGTAACTGCTGCACGAAAAAACCTTATTAGGCGTTATTAAATTATAAGAAGATTAACTTAATGAATAATATGATTACAGAAGTTATTCATTGTTTTTATACATCTTCTTGATATTAAATAGACTGACTCCATATAAACGTGAAACAGCTTGCAACTCATCAGGTTTAGTTTTCCTTATTTTGTAAGCTTGTAAAAAATTGTGCAATGACATTTTACCCATGACTCTTAGGGAATCACCAGGCAAAATATCCTCATCTAAAACTGTATCAACTTCATAGAAAGAAACCTGAAATCAAATTAAATGTTCTTATAGATTTAAACCTTATAAATATAAAATTAATCATTTATTATTATCAGGCTTAAATATAAACTCATATATGTATAACTGTATATATATATACTAACCTGCATAACAGGTCCTGTATAATCCCGCAATAGAATTATTTTTTGACACCATTGTCTACCAGCACGAATATTAACACATGAACCTAAAACATGTTTAACTATCTTACTATATTTTTGATATTGTTTTTCGATATTGTGAAAAAGTTATTTTATTAACTATGGAATATTATATTATATTATGAAATATCAGTCTAATATAACTGACAAAGTCTCTTTGTAATTGTGTAATATATTCTGTTGAATTATAGCGAAAAGTACTGAGGATAGGAAGAAATTGCAGAACTCTATTAGATGCATATTTCTGATTTATTTCATTGATGGTAAGATTTAAAAAAAATGGCATACCATAAATTTCAAATAGAGCATCAAGATTTGGATGATTCTTGTGTAAATTGATAGCATTCACTAGGGCAGCAGTTGGTACTATCGTTGATTTTCTAGCTTTATTGATGATCTTCAAATAGCAAATATTTATATACATATATATATATATATATATATATATATATATATATATATAAAGACAAAGATACGAGTTATATTTATCTTACTTTATTTTGATCAAGTTCATATACGTTCATTGTTTCTTCATTATCTTGTTTGTATGAAATTGGTATTCTAGAACCTGGTTCAGTTTTGATTAAAGAATTACTCATCATAGGGCTAGAAAATTTGCATGCTAAAATAAACGTTTTGATTGTATCAGTATTATGGCAATACTAATCAATAATGATATGTTCAATTATTTAATACCTGTATCTATAGAATACTCGGCTTGCAAATTAACTTGTGCTTTTGGTAATCTATAGCCAATATTAGGAGATCGATTAACTGGAATTTGAATCGGGACTTGCATTGCTGTTTGTTGTAGCATAGTTTTTTGGCTGGTAAGTAGCAAGAATTCTATTAGCTACATTTATATCAATGTTTTGAAAAATGAGTAATATTTACAGTCGTTAAATAAAGGATACATAAGTAGAAATAAATTAGAAATTCACTCCTTTAAATTAAGACAAGTTTTATAAAATATGGTATTCACCTAGATACTTGTATGTAATAATTGTCTCCTTGACATAATTGTTTTTCGGAACCTTGTAAGTTATATTGAGATTCATGTGCAGAAGTTGGAGTATTATATTGAGAGCCAGATGGTACGGCAATGAAATTTTTATTCTTTGCTTGCTGAGGTTGAATATGGTTGATGTTTTCAGGAAGAGATTGATGAGGAAAGAATCTTTCTTGACTAATTCCAGGAAACTGCTGTGTATGTATTATAGTGATAATTAATGTATTAAGATAATGAAATAATATACAAGGCAGTGGAGAAATGATCAAAAGATTAAAAGCCATAAATAAATTAATAAAATATACAATACATATCAGAAATGATTATTTTTACTTTTTTGTATTCATATCAGCAATACTTGCTTATCAAAAACTCATATTTACCTGCCTTACAAAACCAACATTGGAATTAGACTGATGAGACTGATAAGGTACATTAGATCTAAGAATTTGATTGCCAGAATTTGATGTGACATTGCTACAGTAAAATAATTTTATTTATAAAATAATTATGTACAGGGGTACAGTTATTAATTTTTGTAATTGAAAAATAATGTACCTGCTACTCGACAAATATGAATTGGGGTATGTCAAACTTTGCGGTGTTCGTTGGTAGGTACCTGTAAGAAAAAAATAACCCCAAACCAACTTAAAGATTTATTTGGTTTTAAAATTTTAGTTTCCATTTATACCTGAAATATTTTTATGATTCCTATTAATTAAATATTGATCTATTTTGTTATTCATTTTTATAACAGTTGTTTACATTAACAATAAGATTATTTCACAAACTACAGTTCAAAATTGTAAAAGTAGTGAAACGGATTTGGTTCTGCTTTGATCTTTTTCACAATGGTATGAAGTTGTTTTTGTTCCTAGTTATTTGAAAAATAAATAAAAATATTATTATTTGTATGATCAACAAAAATATAAATTTATAACTATACAGCCAAGTAGATAAATCAATAATAATAATAATAACTATTATTATTTAAAGTTAGTGCGCATATAGTAAACAAATAAACATCTTTTCAAAAATATGTAGCATAATTTTAAAAGTTCAGTTGGTAGCATATCTGTTTATTTATGGTTGGTAGTAAGCATTTCGAAGATACTCTTTTTTTATCTATGATTGATAGATTTATGTTGATAGATATCTTTGAATATTTCATAAAATGAAACGGCAAAAACTTTTTTGAAAAATCCGTGGATAGATCTTTGAATATTTTATCAACGGCAAAAACTTTGCTATATTTCTGAGGTTGGTATCACGGAGTGTTCACTTTATTTATGTGTTGGCACACATGAATCCATAGTTAGCTGTCATCTCTCTTTCTCGTATCTATGGCTGTCATATCGATGTTATTGTCTTCGCGTATTTGTTTTCGGGTACTTGGAAAGCGGGCTTTAGTTTTTGGTTAGTTTTAGTCCTGACAATAAACGTTCTCGTTGACTAGTGTTCTTAAGTGATACTTGTAACTTGTAATTTACATTTTTTAATTGATTCTTAGCTTTTGAATCATGGCAAATAATGCTACGATAAAATTCGCATCGTTGGAGCAACAGGTGTGTTTTAAAATGATTAGTTAAAATTTAATGTTTATTATACATTTCAGGAGTTTAGTTTATTACTTATTGTAAATAATACCTTTTAAATTTAAATTATTCTTTTGCATTTATAGGAAAACCTGTTGAATACACGTAAAACTTTCAAAGTTCTTCAGCAAGCAGCAACTGACAAAGAAAATTTGGCTGGAAGACCTACAAGCAAAATTTGTGCTACTAAAGAATCATCAAACAAAGTGCATATGTAAGTATAATATTTATGTAACTAACAACTTCTCTTTGTTGAATCAAATATATAAATGATGTGAGGCTTAACAATTTGGCTTTAGATTAAGTTGCATGTGAAAACTTTTAAATCTATAACATTTTTATTAAACGAGCAACCGTGTTTATATTCAATACATTATAATTTCAATAATAAATTATTAATGTTAGAATATAGTGATTTTATTATATTGTGTACATAAATTATATTTGTTGTTTTTAGTGACTTTATTGATAAAAATGATTTGAAACGAAAGAAGATTGCAACCACAAGTAAAGGAGTTCAGGCAGATGCTGCCTCTTCTATCACAGCCGATGATTTGACATCTGATGCGCCTCCTAGTGAACATTATTGGCAGGTACGATTACACTTATACAAATTATTTATTGAAATATAATATTTTAAATCATACAATTTTGAGAATAAAATGTATTTCATCATCGCAATAAATATATATATTTATATATGTAATATGTGTATGTGTACTGTTATTTGATTAAATTTTTGCATGTTTAGGTAATAGCTGAAAGAAGGCGGGAGGCTCTGGACAAAACTTTGGAAGAAAATGAATTATTACATGGACAAATTGCTGATTTAGTTGAAGAAAACAAAAGTATAAAAGACATGCTAGATGAATCCAGGTCGCTAATTGAAGTGCTAACTGTAAGTTTAAGAAATAGCTATTTTATTTATTAGTTTATTACCAATGTATAAGCTTAGTTTTACTTAACAAAAAGAATGTGCTGAGAATTTTTTTATATGAGATAGATATGACAGTAAGTTTAATTTACTCGTCTTCATAACATCTGTAATAACTATTTCAAATTTAAAAAGTTTTAACTTTACATATAAAATTATTCAAAACTAACATAATCATTTCTTTAGAAATGAAAATAATTACTTTTACTATAGTATGTGATGTTCTGTAAATGTCTTAAAAAATTTTACTATCTTTGAATATTTTTGTGATGAATGATTTTTATGAGAATTTAAATTCTAAAGCACTCTTATTTCAGGAAATGTTAAATGAAAGTTCAAATCCTGTTAATGCAAGTGTTGCTGAGGAAGCAATTGAAGATGCTGTCCGAGAGTCATAAATTTATTTTAAATTAGTATTTATTTGATTTTATATAAAAGTAATATAATTTTCATAAAACTTTGAGAAATATATTTTACGGTATCCTTTAGTGAAATGTGGAAATGAGGCTCTTAAACTATATGTACTAATGTTGGAATTATTTGTTCAATGAATGGCAATATTTTTGCATTAGAACTGAAGTTAGCCCAGTGTACTTTTAATTTAACCATTTCAAAATGGCGTTTTTATTTCTGATTGCTGTTTAGAAATTTGTAACATGAAATTGTGTTGAATAAATGATTTATAAAAATAGATCTTCGTATTTTTGTCAAAATGGATTTGGTAGATGATTTAGTTGGACTGGAGGAGCAGAGTGATTATAATGATTCTTTATCTATGTCTTTTGGCAGTATCCAATCTGACAGTGTTGGCTTTGCATTAAATTCTAAATGTGAAAGGCCACCAAAATATTTTAAATGTGTTGGAGAAAACAGATCAATTGAGGAAATCCGTATCCTTACAGAAATAATATTAAAATTTTACCATAACTTTTCTATGTCGTTTTTCTGGTCTTTTCCTTAATAAAGTATTGTTAGCTACAAAATATCGTCATATATTTTCAGAATTTTCATGCTTCAATATTGTTCAATCGAAGATAATGGATGATGCATTGTATAGCAGTATGTATATGTTATAATAATTATAATTAATTCAAAAATATAATATTTTTGTACATCAAAACGAATCACAATCCGAATTTTTCAATGTTTCTATTGTCTTTGAAGTTGCAGAAATAACCTATAAAATTTAGTGAAACCATATTTTTCCTTAATTTTGGCACAAAATGTCATTAAAACTGATTTAAAAAATCTTTGTTTTTAGATGAAAATTTGGTAGTATCTTCTCCTACTGGATCTGGCAAAACCGTTATTTTTGAATTAGCAATAGTTCAATATTTGCTGCATTTAGAAGACATAGCGTACAATGGAGATTTTAAAATGTTATACTGTAAGTTTTATTATTACAGATTTTTATTTAAAAGTCGCATATTTTGTTTGAAATATTGATTAGTCAGCTTCAGTTCAAATCTGATTATAGCTTTATAAATGTTAATATTTACAATTTGAATCAATTTTTATATTAGGTTTTATATTTCACATTGAAATGTACAATTTTAGTGGCTCCCATGAAAGCCTTATGCACTGAACGTCTTCGGGACTGGTATTTCAAATTTTCTCGTTTAGGATTATCTCTTATTGAGGTTACAGGAGACAATGAAAATTTTGAATTTAGCCATTTGGCTGGTTTTCATATAATAATCTCAACTCCAGAAAAATGGGATTCAATAACAAGACGATGGAAAAATAACACTGATATTGTGAAAGTTATCAAGTTGGTCCTTATTGATGAGGTAAGATATTCATAAATTTATAGGGCCATTATGCATATTATTATGTTTGCTCCAATACAGATACTTGAATAATAAACATTAAATATTTTGTCAGGTTCAGTTGCTAAATGAAGAAAAACGTGGAGCTACATTGGAGGCAGTTGTGAGTAGAATGAAAACTATTCGAGAGCTCATGCAGCAGCAAAACACTCTAGAACGAATTAAAGCTTCAAATGATAAACATAGAGTTCCTCTAAATGACAATGAAGTTCAACAAGATATGCGTTTTGTTGCTATTTCTGCAACTATGCCTAATGTTGAAGATATAGCTATGTGGCTTGGTGATAAAGGAAAGCCTGCAAAATTTTACAAGTAATTGTAATATATAATGTTAATTTTGTTTTCTTTCTTTCTAATTATTTTGAATTCTAATAATCAACAAATTCTTTCATATTGTTTAAAGATTAGACGAGACTATGAGACCTGTAAAATTAAATCGTATCGTAATTGGGTATCACTGTTCTAATGAGAAAAGTTCATTCAAATTTGAGATAACATTAAGCTATAGATTGATGCCAATTATTGGAAAGTATTCTGCTGGGAAACCAACTTTGGTGAGTAAAAATAAATTTAAATTTATCTTAAATTAATTATATATTATAATAGATTTTCAAACGGAATTTCCAAATGATTATTTGTCTATTTCTTCAAATTCATATTTTATTATTAAAAGCATACTTGATTATTTTATTACAAAGAATTAGTTAGGTAATATCAACAATAAGATTCTAATAGATATTTGCCACAAGGACCTATAACACTTTCGCCAGCTCTATAAATAATTTGTCCACGTAGCACAGTTGTGGTCACTTTACCTTTTAATGTCATACCCAAATACGGAGTGTGTTTGTCTTTATGTATAATTATATCCTTCTTCACTTCGAATTTGCGGTCGGGATCCCACACTATCAGATCTGCATCTTTTCCAACTGCTATTGAACCTTTACAATTTAAATTTGCCAATTTCGCTGGGTTTTCGCTTAATAATTTTGAAATTGTAGCCATTGGAATATTTTTTTCCAACGCTTTTGTCCAAAGCGCTGATAGAAGAAATTGTAAGCCTACTATACCACCTTTTGCATTTAGAAAGTCGGGTTTGCAATCAGGACATTTGCCTCTGAGAATCCCTACGCTCGGCTCATGATCGGAAGCGATTGTGTGAATATCTCCTTGTTTCACTGCTTCCCAAAGGGCATCTTGATTATTTTGATTTCGAATCGGCGGCGCACATTTATATTCCGTTTGTCCGTCTTTAATATTTTCAGATGAAAACGTCAGATAATGAGGACATGTTTCAACGGTTATTGGAAGCCCTTTACATTTATTCGCTTTTAATTTTCGAAAACAATTTGCTGAAGAGACGTGCGCTATATGAGATCTTACATTGAATTTTTCTGTTAAATCGATAATTAATTTAACAGCATTAATTTCCATGTTCTGCGGGCGTGCTTTTAGATATGTTGTATATTTTTCTGGATTTATTCCAGATTTTCTGCATTTACTTCCATCATCTGGAAGTTCAGCGTGATAAAGTATCACGGATTTAGTTTTTTTAAGAATATTCAATGCTGTTTCTAAATCATCTTTAGTGACGTTTGGAAAAGCACGATCGCCACTTTGTATAAGAAAACATTTGAAACCTCGAACACCTGCTTTAAGTAAATCCAGCAAATGTTCCGAGTTATCTGGGACTATTCCACCCCAAAATGCGACGTCTACGTAAGTTTTACCTATGCCAGCCTTTAGTTTTGCCTTTAAGTTTTCGACTGTTGTCGTCGGCGGTATGGAACCCATTGGCATGTCGACAATAGTGGTTACACCACCCCAAGCAGCAGCTTTCGTTGCCCTTTCAAAACCTTCCCATTCTGTTCCTGGTTCACCCATATGAACATGGGTATCTACAATTCCGGGCCAGATTGTCCTTGATCCAAAATTTTCGTAATTTAACTTTTTCATTTTCGCATAATTTTCTGCATCTTTTCCCGGTATGATTTCGAAAATTTTTCCCATGGAGTTTACAACAATTCCTGCATCATTAATAGATCCATCGGCCAATAAAACTTGGCGGCTATGAAAAACAGAGCCGCATGCTGTTGTTGAGTTATTCGATCCATAATTTCTGCCGATAATACAATCAGATTTCCAACTTTCAGGACGAAGGGTCCAAACTGCTTGTGTGCATTTCCAAATAAGTTGTTTTTGATACATAACAATAACACCAATAATTTAGCGTTCTGAACATTGAGTTAATTAAACTAAAAATTTAAAACTTAAATTTTGATATGACAACTTTGTCAAAATATTGAAACTGACAATCATGATTATATAATATTAGATAATTAAATAGTATAAATTATTATTGGGAACAACTATCATATTATTAAATGCTAATGTACTATTTAGGTAGTATAAAAAAATATACTTACATATATTAGAAAATCTGATTTGATTGCTTTAAGAAGCTAATTTTTTAATTTTAATTGGTAAACCATACAATAATTTAATTTTGTCAGATTTTTGTAAGCACTAGAAATGGAGCTAAACTGACTGCGTCAGCCTTACAAAAATTGATGACCGTGAAATTTACAAATGAGCAATTACAAATTATAATGCAAACAGGTTCCAAGTAAGTACAACTTTATAAACACTTCATAAATATATATTAGGGTGGTTCTTAATATGGACATTTTCGAATATCTTTGCTACCATTATTTTACTACTAATTTAATCATTTTTTACATTAGAATTCTCGACAATAACCTGCGTCAAATACTACCATCTGGTGTTGCATATCACCACGCTGGAATGGCAATTCAAGACAGAAAGGCCATTGAAGAACTGTTTAGAAATGGAGATCTCCCAATATTAGTTGCTACAAATTCATTAGGTAATCTCAGTTATCTTTATGATAGTTATTTTAAATACTGTTTTTTAAAGATCATAATCATAAATATTAATTATGTTTAGTCTCATCCATATACTTGTTTATCTATGGTCTCATCATAATTTTTTTTTAAATTTTCAGCAATGGGAGTGAATTTGCCAGCTCATTTGGTTATTGTTAAAGGTACGACGCAGTATAGTGGTGCTGGAGTGCGTAGACCATATTCCTCGAGCACTGTTTTGCAAATGATTGGCAGGGCTGGTAGACCACAGTTCGACACTACTGCTACAGCCGTCATCATGACAAGCCAACAACAAGTAGTAAGTGATTATTATTTTATTTTATAAATGTAAAAATTATTGATCGTTAATACCATGAACTCTACCATTATACAAAATTTTATAAAAATTATCAACACAATTTTTTTCTATGAGGAAACGACCCGAAATCTTTACCAAAAACTTATCAGTTCAAATCTCAACTGTTCTATTTTGATCGTTTTTTTTTCTTTACAATAGATTCAGATTTTGCGAAAACGTAGACGAAAAATTTGCATTTTTTGATAATTGCAAAAAACGGCTCGGTCGATTTTTACGCACACATCGACGAAAAGTCAAATTTTGGTTTTAATACATACAAATACAATTTTGAAACATAAACATAAATTTTGGAAAGCTAATGAAGATTATACACCGTTTCTGTAAAATAAATTTTGCAAATCCAATCTGTGCAAGTTTCTAATATTTGTTCTCTAATTAATACATTTTAGATGGAATGCAAATTAAATTATCCAAATCATACAATTTGTTCATATGTTGCGTTTTCTTTCACAAGTCTGATAATAATGTAGATATGTAGTAACTATTACATGTTGACCTTAAATATCTTTATTTACATAATAATGCATTTTTATGTTTGAAACTATTTAAGGTATTTTTACAAGCTCTATCGATTTATTCTTATCGATGCAGTTTGTTGATTTTTTTTCTACTTCAGGACTGACTTTGTAACTTTCGACATTTTTTCCAATTGGTAAAATATTTTATATGAAATCAACCTATATACGACATATTCAACAATGTGCCAGATATAACAAAAACAATTTCATATTTGACTTTATTATTCTTTACTATATTTATTATATACATGAACATCACAATTTAATTCAATTTAGATTTTTGTACATAATTGTTAGTTTAAATGAATCTGCAAAATATTTACAAAATTTTATTGCGTTTCACAGCTTCGTCATATATTTCTTTTGTTTAGCAGTAGTAAATTAATTAGTATTAATCACAAATTGTTTATTAGGCAGTATAAACAATAATATAGGCAGTAATTCATGAGTATATATGTTTCGTTGTTTAAATTTTTAGCTATGAAATGATGTTGTTAATGAAGTTTACGTGATTCGATTCCTTTGTCAGCTTGATCTATTTGTTGAAAGAAATTTTCGGTTGAAAACCGCTTTCGCCATCTACAACGTAGTCGACGGTCATCACTCTTCCATCGGGGAGTAAAACGTAGTAGCTGCCGGTCACCTATAATAATAAAAATAATTTTAAATAAAAAGCTTATTGTTATTTTAACAATCGTTACGGTCTATTATTAATTTGTTTGTCTTTTTCTAATTAATTTGATGATAGGGTTCAAAACGTTGCTCTAATCAAAATTTATAATACTTTATCATTATTTTTTTATATTGGCATTTATTGAACTCCTAAAACTCCATATGTTATATTTTCGCATATGTCAAAAAGATTTGATATCTTATCTTCTTATTAGTATATAATATTAATTTTTTATCGTATGACATACCTTTCCTGATGCATCTCCTGCTTCATTGGCTCCAAATGATAGTTGAATTGGCGGATCTTCCACTTTGTATTGAAAATCGTACTAAATGATAAAGAATAATTTATGTAGGAAATTTTAGGTTTATATACCTTTAACAACTTACTTAAAAGGGATTCAAAATAAACCAAACTAATTATGGAACTTTCAATTACGTTCTTGTAATACATATTTTGTAACTCGTAAGTAGGTCAAAACATATGTAATTATAGTTAAAGAAATTTTATGTTTGAAGATCTGTTTATTATGATAATTTTACTATTTTCTTGTATATAAAAATTAACTTGATTTTTTTAAATTTTGAAATTCAAAGATTCAAATTTACCGGTTCTGGTGCATCTTGTTGTTGGGGTCTTGCGCTGACTAAAACTGCAGCCAATGTAACCGCGAGTGCTACGATATATACTTTCATTGTATTTATTTATCTGGAATCTGAAAAACAAAAATATATTAGCATAACATTTTATAAGATTATTCAAATTATTACATTTCATCTCAAACAGCTCATTTATGTTTTTGGGGGATATTTATTGCTGTCTTTTTGGTTAAAAAATGTGTTGATGTAATATAATGATTGATATGGTAATGAGGGGTAAAAGGGTAGGGCAAAAAATAGTCTGAAAATAATATTTTCAAATAATTCAAATTTTTATTTTAACCAGCATTACGTTTCTTGAAAGTATAATATCATTTCATGCATATATAAATTTAGGAATTTACATAAGAAGCAATAACTAGGAAATTTATTAATTAGCGAAATTGATTTAATCGAATCATTGTTTCAACCCAAAAAAATGTTTTAAAAAAATCCTTAATGTTTAGCAGAAAAATAGTTGATATTTAAATCAAATATATTTGAATAAATAAGTTCACTTGTGTAGTTAGAAACTTTGTCACGTTTCAACCCTTACAATATTTAATAATATCAAAATCACTCAATTGATTAGAAAATCCCAACGATACAAAATATAAAAATAGACATATTGTCTAAAACTTGAATATTTATTATTATTGATATTAAAAATATCTACTATTTTTCAACTTAATATAAATTGGTTAAAATTTAATATCACTCTGTTTTAAATAAATCACATAATTTATCAAAAAGGATTTGATATGGAATTTTACAAAACACTTTTGCATGCACTTTTTGCCTATATAAAATTGTATATCGTATAATAATGTACCTCGGCACGTTAATATCGTCTCAAATTGAGTAGATTTCCGTTGCTATCTTTGATAAATGGATGTTGGCTTATGTCTTCTCCTCCCTGGCATCACAGTCTTTATACTGACGGAAATCGAAGAGGGGGCGTGAGACAATCGACAATATGCACACTTATTTTATGAAGCGCGCGATAAATTTATATTCCGAGATTTTTGAGAGGGACGAACCGAAGATGGAATATCTTTTTTGATATAATTTATTCGTTGGACAGAATTAGTTTAAGTTCAAGGATTTATCTCAAATTTAGTATTATGTTCCCATGGTCAGCTCAATAAATAATACCTATACTATTATAGGCTATTAACAGGTAATCATCCATCTTTCATGTTGAAGTACTCATAATAATGCCCAAATGCAAAGTTTTCACTGGAATTGTGTACACAAATTTTCAGCCTTAAAGAAGCTTTTTGAATGCTTCACTAGCAATTCGTATAGGCATATTTATATGAGCTAGAAGACGAATTCCTGGTAAAGCTCTCAAAAAGCTTTTTCAAGGCTGAAAACGCAAAGAGTCCACAACACAAAAAAGTATTGTAAATCCAAAGATTAGGAAAATCTGGTGTCTGGAAATCAAGTGATCAGCGCGAGGATAACCAGAACAACCTAGATAACCAGGATGATACCTATAATCCTAATCGATACCTATAACATTTTGTGTTGTGGACCTTTTGCTTTTTGTCATTGCCCTCTATTAACATTTGAAGTAAAAATAATTGCTTAGTTTATACATTCATTAATTGAATTTATTTAAAAAATTGTCGACAATTTTGCAAGGTTTAAGCTAACATCTTCCGGCTACTTTGCCAATCTATATTTATTATGAAATCGCGAATAATGCTAAACATTCTTTGTTTTTGTTTTTCAGCGATTAAACCGTTAATATTTACATTAAAAATACGATAAGTCTCAAAAAGCCAAAATTCAAGCCAAGCATAATTCATATTGCGACCACAATATGCTGCAACTTAATTTTTTTTATTAAAAAGTACAGTTTTTACCATTTTTTCATATTCACAAATATTTTATATGCATTTTCATATATTTAATTAAGTTTAATAATAGATAAAACATGTTGTACTATAATATAAAACTATAGTAGACCATGAGTAGACCTTAGTTTTTATGAACCCCATATGGATTAATGTTCTAGTTGTTTATATTTATTATATATTCGATTAAATAAATGTTGACCTTTTAAAGAGAAAAAACAAGGATTTTCCTAACTCTCCTATATATACAAGTTAATTCAAAATTAATGTTGGTACTAAGAAGTCATTTTAAAATGTTCGTACAAACAACTATGTTTCTCATATAGTACCTACGGTATTGTTTAATTCAAACCATCAAATATGTTTTTTTTCGAAATTAAGGGTCATATATAAGAATTAATGTTACATTAAATATTGTATTAGAAGAATATATTTTTTCTTCCTACAATTAATAGTTTTTACCGTACTCAAATTGATAATAATAGTGTCGAAATCTCAAGTACGAATTTCAATCGCATTTGTATAATTTTCAAATGATGTTTGAAGGCTTCTAGAATGAATAAGATGAAAGAAACCTGTTTAATATGAAAAATATAATAAGCAGTGATAAAAGATAATTGTACACGGATAAATCAAAGATTCGTGCATTTAATATACTACAGTTTTATAAACAGGATATGTAATTTTATGAATATTCATAAGAAGAGGCGTAATAATAAATTATTAGCTCATCGACGTTTGGAGTAAATTTATTTTGCATTAAATGGTACTTAAGTTGTCTAATGTTGACAAACACATTGTGAACTATGCTTGCATTGGAAGAATTTAATCAAACTACCACTGTTTACATTTAAAACTTGGTTCTAAAATTAACTATCTTACATTCTATACTATTGAACTTGGTAATAGTAATACCATATTACTCTTAGTTTAATGATTTATTAATTATATTGATAATAATGGTATGATTGGTCTGTTGCATGTCCATTGGTTGATATAATTTTATTCCAGATTTTCTCGGATTTTTCTCATTGCTTTGAGAACAGCAAGTTACTGAGTTATTCTGACCGCAATAACAATTTTCCAAAACCCAGTAAAAATTGAAAATCGGTTAAACAATTACAGATAGTAAAATTTGATAAAATAAATCTAGTTGACCCATTGATAAGGAAAAGTTGACTCTTTTGGAAATCTCCATCAAGTGCTTCACTTTCAAAATTATAGAATTGAAGTTTTGCCAGAATAGCTATACTGTTAAAACATAGAATTCTAAAAGTGTTGTTAATTTAAAAAAAATTATCCACGTAGATACGAAAGGACTGAATTTGGATATTCTAATGAAAATATAGAAATATGTATACTGCTGTTGACTTTTGATAGAATAATTTACTTTCATAGAAGTGAATTGTTTAATCTTCAGAAGCAGTAGTTTAGTTATATTATTCAAGGAAATACTTGTGAAATTAAAAGTTATGAAGGGTTTGAGGTGTAAAGGGTCGTCTATTTAGTGGCTCATTGGTCAAAGAACATTATGCATTGGCATAATAAAGACAATTTGAATAGAACACCAATTTCAAAAGCAAGCTTTATTCAAAGCTTTCAATTCAAACTAATTATTTATTACAATCATAAGGAAACACTAATTAATTCTAATATTAGCGTCATGGACAATGACGTAAGCTAACTAATAGCTTCGTTGTTTATCATTATTTACTTTTGTCTTCTCTATTTGTCATGTGCGTTATGAAATCCTATAATTTAGAAAATATATTCTTAATAATTAGCGACTAGATGCTCACTTGATATACGAGCCTGTTGTGATTGATTTTTATGAATATTATTATAAGTGCATGAAATATTTATTAATTCAAGCCAACAATTAACAAATGTTTATCATATATGTATTTATTTTTATTTATCATATAAATGTATCATATAATGATACTAATCAGTATCATTCCCAACTAATATCTTTCGAACAGTTTTTGATTTTTAAAAATCGATTCGGTAGTATGAGATTAAATATGGACGAAAAGTTTAACACTTTTTTCAAATTACAAAGAAACGGATCGGCAGATCGTCTCACAAAACTGACAAACGATACATCATTGAGATACATCAAATGGCTTTTAAATTTCTGAAATCGGTTCAGGGTTTTTAGCAAACGCCGATGAAATGTCTAATTTTGACAAACGCCAAAAAACTATACTACTTTTTGCAAACTTTGACGAATTTTTAAAATTAAACGAGTTGTCGTAGGGCTGTAATATTTCAGTATGATCTATAATATGACTATGGTATCTACCATAAAAAAATCATAAAAATCGTCGAAAAATTTTTTTTAACACTTTATTATAAGAAAAACTAATCAGGTCGATCCTACGGCAAAAAATCTGTTTAACTCACACACACACTCAATACTTTTTTCAAATTTGGTCTCATTCCATTCAGAATGGCTTGAAATGTCGAGAAAACATAAAATTAGCGAATCGGATTTTTTTATGAAAACATAAACTTGTCCTTCGGGAAATTAATAAATCTTTTGAAGCCTACATACTAAATAATGCACTCTATAAATAATTATTATCGAATGAATAAAATAGGGGAGACTGGGTACGGTTGTGCCAGGATACGATAGTGACAGTCGTCATAACATCTAAACTATAATGATTTTGAGATAGGGTCCAAAGGAAGAAGATGAAACATTATTGTTCGAATAAGTTCCTATTATTGTCCTTATATTAACATGATCTGTGGACCGCATTACTATTGAAGTCAAAAATGAGTTTTCATGTGTGAATTCTGTTTTGAAAAAAAATGTTTTGTTATATATTGTCGTTATAAACCATTTTGGTGTTCATAGCTTTTTAATTTATTTTTATGCTTCTCTCAAACTTCCCCTTTTCTTGTATGATTTGATTTTATGACAAATCCATCTTATTTAAGGACAGTATTTCAATTTTTTCACGTAGACAAATGTTTAAATTATCAATTAGTTTACTTTTCTCCAAGCTGACAGGTAAATTAACAAAATAATAATTTTTAAAAAATGGAAGAAGAGCAAGAAATTCATAGTAGATGTGAAATGTTCAATCCATTTAATCTACAATAGCTTATAGAATATTATACCTACTATATAATATTGTTATACATTTATATAACAAAGCATATTTCAAATAAAAGCTTTCCTTTGCCATAGAATAAATCGTATACATTATTCTATTTCGTTTTAACTATTATTCAAAATTTATTCATTTTAAAATTATATTTTATTCATTTTATAATTTCCTTATTTCTCCATTGAATAAAAGAGCTTTAAAAAGACGTTGGGTTATATAATATAAATAGAATCTATGGATAAATTTATAAACAATTTATAATTGATTGGATGACATATTTAGTTAGAAAGAAACTTTAATGGACTTGGAGTTAGGCAACAAAGTATTGCAAGTTTTTAGTTTCTTCGACTTAATCATTAATTGAAATCAGCAATATATTCATCATGACTATAGATAATTATTTCATATTTAATAAATCTGTTGAGATGATAAATATATGCTTACTGTTCTATAACAATACGATGGAAATCTAATTAGAAGGATCTTACATATGCATACTTGATTACATATAATATATTAAAAATTATTTCAAAGCTATTATATTGTATGATAAATATTATGATTTGTGATTATAAACAACATAATATGATACATCAGAATATATTATTAACGTTAGTTATGATCTATTGTTGTTAGTGTTCATTCATTAATAGATAATGAGTAAAGTATACACATGTGCCGTAATTAGATTTACTAATTTATTTACATGGTGTCCTTCACCAAATTTGCGGATTTATAATTAACAATAAAAAATCTATAAAATATTTCTGTTACGTAAGATAATTATCAAAACAATTTTTGTACAAAATTATAATATATAAACAAAATAGTCCAGTCAACGTAGGATTTTATTTTGATTAAAGCATTATCGAAACTTGTGAAAACAATGTTTATAATTAAATTATTTAAAAATTAGTTGTTAATTTATACATTTTTGTGGTGTTAAAATTAAAGCACATGTAAAAATGTTAAATTTTTATTAAATTGAAATTCCTTCTCATTAGTGCAGATATAAAAGACCGTAATACTCTCTTTAAAGTAATATCACTTTTTTAGTATAAATTTCATACTTTTATCGAAAAAAAAGTTTTCATCAAATAATATTTCATTAATGAGTTGAAAAAAGTAAACAAAAATTCTTTAATTATTAGAGCTACTATTGTGGGTTTGATTTTTCAGTGTACTAATTGAATGAAACATAGCATTTTATCAAAGATATTATTTTTATTTTAAAAGCACATTAATACCTTTATAATAACATTACTCCCAAAAAATAATTAATTCTTTATTTCAATATTTATCATATGTTTTCGAAAAGACTTCAAGTAATACATCATGTTCCTGAAAACTAACTTATAAATACGAGAAAAATCTGTTGATAAATTATCGAAGAAAATACAGAAAACATCTATAAATAAATATTTGATATATTTTTCGTTATTTTAATTTTTAAAGTTTGAACATTTGTAAATTTATATTTGTAAATTTATATAGATATTTTCGAAATGCATATAGATTTATAATCTTTATTTACTCGACTAAAACGAACATCATAGCCTTAAAAATATAATTATAGTACTTTTTTCAATAGCTGAGATGGGTTGTTGTAATGCTAAAATCTTGGGTATTTAATGTCATTAACATTTACTGAGCAGCATAACACACTTGTAATTCGTTATGTAATCATTCGCTTGAGACTATATATTATTTGCAAAGATTTGAGAATTCACACGGCTCACTTGAAATTCAGTAAAATGCTCGTATACTCGTATGTTAACAACTGACACTATGAACAGACTTCTTCTGTTAATGCAACATCGTTAAAAAATTTAATACTATTCTATTATTTACTACTCATTAAATGAAACATTTTTTAAATAATTGGCAAAACTGTACCTTACCTAAATTTATGCCAAGAAAATAAACAATTAATTAACGACCGATCAGCTTTGGATATCTAAAATGTCTTAAAAATTAAATTTTATAATATTATTTCATCCAGCTTTTACTCAAATACAATAAGTAAATAATTACAACTCACGTTTCAAACACTTTATTCAAATCCATCAAGTTACAATATGTTAGATTTTTCATTTTTAGGCAAGTTACGGAACTTCCCTATATGCTATTGAGACAAAAATAATATTTGTCACCTAAAATCATTTCATACTGTTTAAGGGAGACTGGGTTCTGGGTTATGCCAGGTAGTGATAGTCGTCATAACAACTAAACTAGTGATTTTAGATAGGGTCTGAGGGAAGAAGATGAAGTATGTTTGTTCGATCAAGTTTCCATTATTACTTTGAGTTAGGGCCCTTTATTAACATGATCTGTAGACCGAATTGCTTTTAAAGGGTCAAAAGTAAGTTTTTTTGTTCGAGTTCTTTTAATGATAACTGTTACTTGTATACAAATAGATCACTTTGTTTGTTATTTTGCTGTAAGTTAAACATTTATAGTTAATTACCAGCAATTAATTTTGTTTGTTTTATGTGATATGAATTTCTTGTCCTTTTTGGGTGAAATTTAAAAAGGTGAAGAAAAATCTAACTTAATGAAATACGAAAGAGATATTGTTATATTATACTTATAAACTTTGTTCAAATGATTATGTTATGTTGTATTACATATTTCTCATAGAAGTCGTTATAAATTATTTTGGCATTTATAACTATTGTTT